GTTTTAATAATTGAAAATAAAAGCTGACACGTTTTTAAAATGTTGAAATTAAATAAATAGTTTTTTTTCTCTTGAATTTTCAAAGTAAAATCCTTTAAAGTGTAATTAAAATGTTATTTTTTTGTTTCGTCAGAGCGGGAGTCTGGGTCTGAGGTGGTCCAGGGTCCGTGCGCGCGCGCGCGGCCGGCAGCGCGTGTCTTCCTCATCACCATAATCCACCAGTTTCCCCCCATGAGGCTGTAATTAAAGCAGCGCGAGCAGTTAATGGTTTCTTTTCTCCCAGTCTCTAAAGCCCTGGATGTGTTCAGGAGGCTCTGCGCTCTCAGCCCGCAGATCTGCGCGAGCGCAGATCTGCGGGCTGAGAGCGCAGAGCCTCCTGATCTGATCAGATCATTTCTGTTTTTGATTGAATCCAGAAAAAATGTATTTGCTCAAATTAATATTTTTTATATTTATGTTGCTCTCTAAACTCCGACTTAAATCACTACACCTGATATTAGTTTCTATAAATATTTATCTGACAATTAATCGAAATAAAAACACGGATTTTACGCAAAAAACATTTTTTTTACTCGAAATCTAATTTATTTTGTGTTTAATAAAATAAAATAAAATCTTAACCCAGTTCATCAAAAGAGCTTTTAATGCAAATAAAACAAATAAAAATGTGAATTCAGAACATTTTTTTTGTGGCACAAAATTAGAATCAAACGGATTATTTTGACGCTCGCTCAAACAAAACAACAGTTCCTGTTTGATTAAAAAAAAATGATAATTTTTGGTTTTAAATCTGCATTAAAACGTTCAAACATTCAGCTTCGTTACAGCCGAACCGTGGAGCGGGTCTGTCGGAACCGGAACTGAAGCGGCAGCGGCGTAAAGAGCCGGTTCTGTCAGCAGAACCTGCAGATCTTTTTGGGTTCTGGAGTCACTTTAAGGTATTAAAATGTTTTTTAGAGGTTCTGACTCTGAAGGACACGCGCACAAACCCAACTCCAGTCAGATAAAAAATAAATAAATAATAAATAAAAACTGAATGTTTGCGGTTCTATAAAGTCCAGAAAGACCCCCCCCCCCCCCCCCAGTCTGCAGGGGGGTCTGTGGTGGGGGGGTTCTGAACCCATCTGTTTAATTCAGAACCAGAAATCAAACTGCGGAGCCGCAAACATCTGCGCCCCTCAGAAACTCCCCTCCCGCGTGCCTCGGTCCGTGGACCGAGATCGGGACCGGGACCGGGACCGGGACCTACCTCTGAGCTGCAGGAGGACAAATAATCCACAAGAGAGCCGCTGAGAGCCGAGCCGCGAGTCCAGAACCAGAGAAAACCCGGTCAGAAGAAGAAAAAAAAGGTCCGAACCGAGCCGGAGGAGGAAGAGGAGGAAGAGGAGCAGGTGATGCTGGTGCTGATGCTGCTCGGAATCAGAACATGTCTCCTCCCCGGTTCGGTGCTGCGGGTCCGGCTCCGGCTCTGACTCTGACTGTGGTTCTGGTTCTGCTGACGGACACACACAGACACACACTTTTTGTCTGCAGCTCATAATCTGCCCAATGAGGCGTCTCCTCCCTTTAACCCTTCAGTGGCCGCGCCCCCCAACACACACACACACACACACACACACACACACACACACACAC